AAGAGAAAGGGGGTGGCCCCAATCATTTTTGTCCTATACGGACACACATTCTAGAAAATTCTAGCACATGGTGCTATATAACCTTGTGCTACTGAGAAGAAATTTCTAGCCGTTGTTCGATCGGCGGCTCAAGTGAAAAAGAAGCGCGAGGAAGATCGCAGATCAGGAACTCCGCATCAAGCGCTCCAAGCGGAAAATTTTCCAAGCAAAAAAGCTAGAGATGGGATTAATGAAATGATAATCGAGAAGTGATTTAATAAATACGATCGGACGGTGAAACCGTTACAATATGATAAGTTGATTGCTGATGGTGATAGTAACTGCTACAAACGACTTCTCGACCCTCATCCGTATGAAGATGTCATAGTAGAAAAAATTGAATGTAAAAATCATCTGCTGAGGAATTATTCGAGGAAAATCCGAGATCTAATCAAGGATACTTCAGCAGGACCTCTTGTTTTGCGTAAGCAGATTCAGGTGTGTCGACCCGACACAGACGTGCTTTTTCATTTTAATTTTATTCATCCTGATAGATGTACGAAATGTATTTCTGTATTTAAAAAACAACATTAATTTGGAGAAGATAGTACTTTAGCTGTTTCATGAAATATACTAAATAATATTATAGCAAAATCAATTAAAACTACGATGGGCAATCAGTAAATCCGTGTCCTATCGGAAAAGTGAAAATATTGAATTTACTCACAACGTAGAGGGCTTAAAAAAGGATATACGTATACAAAACTCCATTAGCCATATATTTGGTGAGCATAAGGACTGCCAAAACATACGTTACTTTTGCAATAAGCCATATGTTGCACATGGAACCACGATGAGTGATCTGAAAATGACAGGTAGGGTTGTGTTATATGGGAAATATATTGACACAGTACTTTCCATGCATCAATATGATAATTACGCGAGAGGTACAGCGTTGGCCTATTGGATGCATGTTTAATAGCAACTTTGTTTTATTCCATTTTTTTTTAAGATTTGCACCAGAGGCTGATATCATTTCAGGCAATTCTGATTAAAAATGCAGTAAGTTTACTTTATGACGTCGATAATAATATTGTAGAGGAGTTTAACTCAATCATAGCTAAATTCATTGGGGGTAAACGGATTAATTATCGTAAGAAGAGATCCTACCAAGGAAGATGTGCTGCAGCCGTAGTGAGCCACAATACACAGCGTCCTGTTTGTGTAATCCAAAAGTGGATACTTCCTAGTTTCAGTCCAACCTCTTTGATTGCTAAAGTTGAAGAAAGGAGAACGTATAAAAATCGGAAAAGGAAGCTGAAACCAAGGAAAATTAAAATCAGAGATAGTGATACTAAAGAGAACGCATCCTATGGGGAATTCTGTGAGAAGCCTGACATGAGCGACGAAGGTATAGAGGCTGCCAAGGTGGAATTCTTGAAAAACTTGCAAAAACCGATTCCGAAATTTCCCAGATCGAGCAAGCCACAAAATCTCAGGATTGCAATTTGTGGCGTCTTCATCGAAGAATGAGGTTAACTGCGTCTCGGTTTGGTGAGGTTTGTAGAAGAAGAGATACAACAAGTTGCAAAGTTCTAGTAAACGCCATAATATACCCAACCGAATTCTTTAGCAAGGCATGGGACTATGGAAAAAAGCATGAAAGCGTGGCAAAGGCAGAAATAGAGAAATCATATTCGCAATCAAAAATACAATCTTGCGGGTTGTTTATTGATAGGACCCATCCATTTCTGGCACCATCGCCAGATGGTTTGATAGGCGAAAAAGATCTGCTAGCAATTAAATGTCCATGGTCGGCCAGAGAAATGACCCCTGAAGAGGGCATTCTGAACAAAAAAATTACGTTTTGGATAAACGATGAAATAAATAAAAAACAAGTGGTAATACCAAATTCAAGGGCAGCTACATGTTGCACAAAGAGAGTACTGTGATCTTGGTGTTTGGACCCCGTATGGTTTGAAAATAGACGTCATTCAAAGGGACGACGTTTTCTGGAAAAATGAAATGGAAGAGAAATTGAAATTCTTCAACATGAACTGCCTGCTCCCAGAACTGGTCGATCCCAGGAAAAGCAGAAATATGCCAATCCGCAATCCCGATGCGATCTCGAAGGCACAAGAGAACCGTTTGAACAAGAAAAAGAGTTCTTGAGAATTGGCTATTTTTGCTGTACTCGAGTACCAAGATGGAATAGATTAGCATATTACATTGTACGCCGTTACTAACCTCTCCGTGTCGGCAAATGCGCTGTGCAGATCTCGCATTAGCAGCGATGTGCGAGATGTTATGCTAATCTCTTCCATTTTGGTACTAGTACCAGACGTTCACTATTTATTGTATATTATGTATATATTGTTTATGTAAATAAAAGTCAATCCTCAGGCTCAATAGCACGTAGCATCGGCTACGAGCTAGCTTTATCTAGTCTGTTAGATGGCGAATATTGAAATGTCACATTGACACGTTAAGCGCCACAGTAGAATCTGAAAATCCAGTCCACTGGGCCAAACTGTTATTATTGTCAAATTATCTTGTTTTAAGTTTCGGTTTAATATTTTGACTTGACTTTTTTCTCAAATCCTATAATTTTTCCCCTTTTTTTTGATTTTATTTTTTTTTCTGAGGTACTATTTGTATGTCGCGCGGCCCACAGACCAGTCGGGCCACGTGGCACATAAGTCGTGTCGCGTTTATTGCAAGTCAAGACTTGCATCATGTCGCGCGTTGAGCACTGTTTCGTGTCATTTATTATTGAAGCGTTGTTGATATTGTACGTCATCTTGTCCAAATTGCTTTGCTGTTTATAAACTATTGAATACCAAATTTAGTGATGTCGCATTACGAAGCGGAGCAAAAAAGACTTGAACAATTGTGGAATGAACTACTATCGGATGAAGAGAGTGGCAGTAGTGAGGTATGTGGGTATGTATAGGTATCTGATGCGTATTCTCCAAGTGGTAGTGAATCAGATAGGAGTTGTAGTAATTCCATATTTATCTGTATTACTATTTATTTATACCGTTATTTTGTTTATTCCTATTACTGATTTGCTGTGAAATTACTTTGTTCATTTTTGAATGAGCATGTCTGATTATTTTATAAGATTTACTTTTTGTTTTAGATTTGAATAGAATCTCCTCTTTTTGTAAAACTCTATAAACAACGCGTTTTTTAATGTTTTCATTTCCAATTGAGTATAATTTGGTCCCTCGTACCCACGTACTCTTGGTTCCCGTAAGAAAATCACATCAGCATGGCACACGTCTAACGTTACGCGGCCAAATATAACTGCCAGCAGTGAGACATATCATGTGTGTCACGAGGCCTAAAGTGCCAAATGAGGTACACACGCATTATAACTCATGGCGCTTATCGTGTTGAGTTTATTTTACGATACTTCATAAGGTTAAGGCTAAACAGCAAGTGACATTTTATTTGTGTTAAATGCGTTCACTATAATTATTATTTTTAACTAAAAAGATTACCGCCTCCCCCTGGAACCACCTGGAAACTTTTGGTCACAAAGTTCTGTATTTTACCACACATGTCAAGTCTTTTCATTTGATATGTAAATTGGGGGTTTTGTGCAAAAATATGTAACTCGCAATTTCGAAACGGCGGCAATCTTGGAATCAAATTTTTAGTGAAGTACTGTATTCTACAAGGCGACGACTCTTATTTGACATATTAACAAGATTTTGTTAAAGTATGTTATCTGCCATTTTGTGTCGGCCGCCATCTTGATCTGAAACGGTTTTCGTATTACTGTATTGTACAAGTGTTTCCATTTGATATCCATATTGGGGTGATTGAACAAAAATGATTTTTTGTGGGATCACCTCTGAAGTATGGCCTATTGTATAAAAAGAAATGATCAAAATCGATTAAAAATGTCCCCTCTTTCATTGAAGTCTATTAAAAATGTCACTTAATGGTCCGATGTTTATCTCGAACGACCGACGTCAGAACTGCTATTGTTTAACTTGGGACAACAAATTATCTGAATACGTCCTTTCTTAGTCCGTACTCACCGCCGCGTTGCTTCGACTGGCAGCACGAGATAGTGGATAAAATTCGTGTATAAGGCCTATTTGCAGAGGTTTTCGCGCTTCAAAATTGACGCTTCATTTTTGAATATTTTTCAATGAAATTTTCACAGTGCACTAAAAACAAGACTCCACAGGGTGCTATAGAGCCACTTTTTCGTTTTTTCCTCTGGATTATTTTTAAAAAATCGAAAAGTCGAACAACAATTATCTGCACTTCCACCCACCATAACTCTTGAACCATTTTTTTTTTTTTTAGAAAAGTGGCACTATAGCACCCTGGGCTCTGAACATACTGTACAAATATTATTCAAATATATAGAAAAATGGAGCTTCAGTTTCGAAGTCGCTGAACCCTTGTAAATGGCCTAAAACTCACTGCGTCGGAGCCGCCTTCAGGCATTTTCAAACAAACTTTAATCCCTTAATTTGGCACGGCCTCAAAATTCGTTCTTAGCTGAAATGTCCTGTCGATAACCTACCTTCCTGCCAATATTGATGTTTGTAGGTCAAATAGCTTCCGTTATCTCGTGATTAATGTGTATCTTTTAGCTTTTATATACAGGGTGTTTCAAATTCGACCCTCATCAATAGAATCTCGGAGACTGTAATAGATACGTTGCTTAAACGGGGACAAAGTTGCATATCTAGGTAGTTAACGAATTGCAGCTCGGAAAGTTTCGAAATTGAAAGTACTGCTTGAGAAACGGAAAAAAATGAATGTTCTCGAGATCGTTCCGATATTTTCCCGAGTTTATTTGTAGTGAGAGCTCAAATAAATTGCACATTAACATTGCCACCTTTTTCCTCTTCAAGATGGCATAATTAAAATTTCGTCTCTTGTTCTGGAGCATCAACTTTATTTTCTCCAAAAGATGTTCCAGTTCCTTAGGAATGACTCCTGAGTTTGCCTCAGCTGGCGTATTTCGAATGACTGCAGAAACTGGACACCAGTGTCCCAGCTCCGAAACCTCCTTTAATGAAGTAAGTTTTGAAGGGTAATGACTGACATTCATTAGTCTCACAGGAATAGTTTGCACGCACAAGAGTGTAGCTGCTATCCCTCGGCCAATAGCCTCGTCATGCATCCTATGTTCAAACATGACTATTTCTCTATCTGTAGTCTAGCCCTCTACCGAGCCATTCAATACAACTTCGCTTCGTTCTGGGATCACGGTGTTTTCAGGCAATAGAACTCGTACGTTTCCATTCCTTTCGCGGTGTAAAATGACCTCCTCATTGTTGAGTCTCAAGATTCCTTGCTTAAAGTTCAACACGAAGCCCTTTGTGTCCATGATGTCCATTTCGATGATTAAATCGTCCTCAATATCATTTACTATCGCCGGATGTTCGAATGTAGCTTTTCCTATTCCAAATGCGATGTTTACTTCACCGTACACGTTTTCTTGGTCTCCCGGCGCCCATCGTAGTCGCCATTTGGATGGTCGGATCTTCGCCGATGTCGGGCCTTATGATAGTCTTTGTCGCACCTGTATGCAGCAGTACGGTGTGGAGAGTCCCATCCACAAAAGCATCGACAAGAACACTATTAGACTGATGTTTAAGCGAGGAGACATGGACGGTATTCACTGATGGGGCTTGTTGGCTACAGGTCGACGACAGCCCCTTCACATCGACCTCCCTTAGTTTTCCGGATTAGCCAGATGAAGACCAGCACTTTCAGGGCAGAGTCTCCTAAGTTGGCCTATTTTTCCACATTTCCAAAATTCCAACTTGCTGTTCTGGCGGCGACGGCGACGTTTACCATCAAGTTCCTTAACAATGCCCTTGACGGACTCTTCGAACTCGTTGTCTCCTGGTACCATCTGGCGGACTCGGACCTGGCTTTTATTTGTATTTTTAGGGGCTTTGAATTCTAAGGCCCGAGTTAGCGCCTCTACTAGCTTAGGTGAATGTGCTAGTA